AGGTGCATTTGTGACATGACCACGAAATTATTTAAAATTTATTAATGGAATTTTTTAATTTTTTATTATCAATCACCGGTGACTTATATAGCATAGCACTCGTTCAACCTATTATTAATTTAAATTAAATTTGTTCATGTGGTAATTGTATTTGAATTAAACTAATCTTTCTTTTTGACTTCAATTCAGTGGATGGCGAACTATGACATGTCAAGACATTTTAGGTGACACGCATTGTTTAACCTGCTATATCAGATATTTCTTAAGGAAGAAATACTTACGTACATATTGACATGACCACAAAATTATCTAAAATTTATTAATAGAATTTTTTAATTTTTTACTGTCAGTCACCGATGATTGATATAGCATGACACTCGTTCAACCTATTATTAATTTATATTAAATCTGTTGATGTTGTAATTGTATTTGAATGAAACTAATCCTTTCTTTTCAAGGAAATACGTGGTATTCTAGGAAACAGATATACAAAAGACGTGTATAAAGCTAGTGTTGATAAGGTTAAATATCTGTGGCACTGTGAGAACATTGCTGAAGCTTCCCTTAGAAAACGCTACTCTAAGACCCCGCATTAGAGGCGCGGTAAATTTAACAAAATAAGCCATACGTTCGGTAAATATTGCTGCTCGCGTGTTACAAGTACCGAAGCAAATACGAAATTGTAAAATTTTATAACCGTCGCGTTCGTGCTGGTCGACAATAAACATTACACCTGAGAGGGCATTTCAGTAAACCATCAAAGAATTACACGTCTATACCTAGCGGGGCGGCAGTTAAAATGGTTTTTTTTTAACTCTAAACCAACACCTAACAAATCTGCCCCGACCGCCTAACAAACGTCCGCATCCTCGACGGTAATGGAGAACGAGTCGATCGCGTGAGACAAGCGAGATTACCTGAAGTAATCGCACGTGAAGGAGGCAGCGATCCGACGTGGAAGGCGGGTCGTCGGTGAAAGTACAAAAAACCATCACCCTTGTCGTGGGTGACGGGGCGATTTCGACGACCCCTCGTTTTGTAAACTAGGCGCGAGGGAATTTCGAGCTAAAAAGCGGGTGATTAATGATCCTCCGCCTCTAAAAAGGTCGTCGCGTCCCTCCGGCTGTCCCTTCCCTGCCCCCTTCCTCCGTGACCGTGGCAGTTCCTTAGGGCTGCCAGAGCTAGTAATTGATTCCGGATTACTTGTCGCCGACAAGAAACACGACCATCACGAGATGACTCTTGACATCGCGTCACGGTGTAATCTGTACGCGTCCCGTCACGGCACAGGAATTATTCCACGGGCTCCCTTTAACCGACCCGTTCCGCGGCTTCCTTCCAGTCTCGCGTTTTATGTGCAGATTATCTCGAATCGAGATGTAATTTTTGATTATACGGTTTTTTGGCGCGAGACGCGCGGTTCCTTCGTTCGCCGCTTGGCGGCGTGACCGAGTTCGCGCGCCAAGGGCACGCCGGACGCTTCCTCTACCTACGTGTCGCCGCGAGAGTTTAAGTCGAGTTCAAAAATGTTTACCAAACAGTTCGTCAGTACACGTGTCCTCACAGAAGTATAATTTATAACCAAATTTGCAAATCTTTTCCTTCGAGAGTTACAAACTTCTTTGTCTCCATGGCTCATGTGTGACTTTAAATAGTTTATACTTGAATAAATTAAGACGAATACAGTGTAATGAAACGTGTAGTGAAACTTTTACGAATTCGTACTGCAGAAACGTCGAAATCTATGAGCCCCTTGGAGTTTAAGTCGCAAAAACGTAAGATTCAAAACACAGATGGTGGGAAGCAACTACTCGACCTACCTTCGTCTCATCCTTCCACCTGCATGGAACCTCGGCAACACGTAGAATGGAGCAAAAAGCGAGCACGGCGACCCAACCCTCGCATCCGACTCTTCCTCGAAGCATCACGCCGTGGCATTAAAGCCATCGGGAATATTTCACGTTCCAATCCTAGATGACTTACCCTGCACACCACGATCCCCTTATTACACACGCCATGCCCGTTGCAAGCAGCGGATAGAAGCAAAAGAACGAGCCGGTCACGCTTCACGCTCGTGTCAAATCGCAAACGCGAACGAATCGCGAGTATCCCGTGCAAGAAGCGTGTTCCATGGCGCGTCGCGCGCTGGCAAGAACCGGCTGAGCCGCGAACGCGCGACTCGCGATGCCGGCACTACATTGTATCGTGGCAAAAACCGCCGTAGGATCGACCGTTAGGCGATCGCCGTGGCGGTTTTTCGAGGGCCAGGAAACGGTTCGAGGTGACGAGGGTAATATTTCAAAAGCTCGTTGAGTGGTCGGGCGAGGAGCGTGCACGCGGAATGCCGGCAGTAATTTGAACAAACGTACGACAACGTCTCATTTGTCAGGCGCGTGTGACGCGACCGACACCGGGCCCCTAACGCGCCAGAAATACCGCCGATGGACACTTTTTCTACCCCCGTCCCATCCGTTTCTGCTCAGCGTTCGCATCCTGTCTCGTGGTTCGCGCCAGCCGAGGAATTCGATCGTAATGAGCCTCGCGATGTCAAAGGGTTCTTGCACCCCTCCGTGCAGCCGAGTCGCGATCCGATGGGATGATTGAACGACCCTGCACTTTATTCTGCCTCTTTTAACCCTTTGTTTTGATACCTTGAAGCTTGATTAACGAACACTAGGCTATAGTTACATTAAAAGTAACTGTATATGGAACGAAATTCGCGGGGGGTTCTTATTTCATTTTATTTTGGGGTAAATGGTGCCACTAGGCTCAGAAAAATGTAAGAAATTTTTCAAGGGGGGTTAAAAATAGTTGATGTTAAAAATAATGTTAGAATGGATAATGTTAAAAATGACACTAATAAGGGGTTAAAAATGGCGACTCTTGGTGGACTCCTGATGGTATATTAGGTGATATCTAGTGTATGCAAAGTAGGGGTAAGTCGAATATCAATTTGGAGATTCTGGAAACTCCTAGACTGTGAAATTTTTGATACATGATGAAGTAATTTTGGGTTCTGTGTGATTTTTATGTTTTGAGAACTGAAACTTTTGTATATTTCTTATTTATTGATCCTTATTGATGATGGATGACACTGTGTTAAAATTATTGGTTTGAATTTTTTGTATTTTTGTTATTATTGGAAGAATAATGAACTAATTTTGGGTTCCGTGTGATTTTGTATGTTTTATGTACTGAAACTTTTGTATACTTCTTTCTTGATCCTTATGGTTGACACTGTGTTAAAATTATTGGTTTGAAATTCTTGTATTTTTATTATTATTGGAAGAATATAGTTCTGAAACGATTGATCTTGGCTAATGAACATAACGAATGTTCCACCTTCAAGAACACAATATTCGAATAATTTTTGGATTTAGTCTAGTTCCTCTTTTAACTATTATAATGACAATAGTGGAGAGAAATCTTTAAAAAATTTACTGATTTTGTCTTTTTCTCAATTCTCAAAATTTCCAATTTTCTTAAGCTTTTATCTTTTCTCGTGATTGCATCAATTTACCTGAATAGGGACTCATTATTGACGACCAGAATTAGTGTATTTTTACTATACAAATTGTTTGTCGCTCAAAGGCTACAAAATAATAGAGTTCTGTTATAAATTACAGCCCTCTGTCGCGACACCTATTTAGAATTCCGCGATGTAGAGACGAGGAAATGGTTAACACGATGTCACAGAAACATGTCATATTCTCCATCCATTTGGACCCTTTTGAAATCTCTACTTTTAGGTTGCTGACTGCACATACTGACACAGTAATAAATGAAGTCTCTCTTCTGAAATAATTAACAATGATCCTGCGTCTACGCCACTGTTTATTATTATTAATAATAACTATCTAATAAAAGCTCTTAGAATCCCAAATTTTTAAAGACGTTTGTGTGTTGATATTTTATACACCGTTTTTCATTAAAAGCACACTATTAAGACCCCTAGAGATTCAACTGAATATCGTCAATTTTGATATTAGTAAGGAATAGCCGAGGTTTGTTGCAAATATATATTAACACTGAAAATTTCATAGATTGCAGATTTCGATTTTCGAAATTACAATAGAATTTCAACAGCCTTCCATAGAGTTTACGATACACTATCTCATTTCCAGCTGCTATAATTTGATAGATCGGAGTGTTGAAGGGTTTCATGCATCAAATGAGAGGAATCCCCACTTGTAGAAGTGATAGAATGACTATTCCAAAACAGATATTAACGATCGTAAACAGCAGCACTAATTATCACCAAAAATATTATTACACTGAAAAAGGCAATGTCCGATTAACCACTTTAGCCTTTGGCCTCTTCTAATGTCCCCAGGAGCCATTAATAACCTCAAATTTGTAATTTCAATTCATTTTCATTAACAAAGAAAGAGTACTATAATTCATATTTGCTATTTTCTTTTCCAAGAAATAAATTTTTGCCCCCAGAAAATCTCCTCAAGTTACTCGATATCAAAAAATTCTCACAGTGCAGAGAATTTAATTCTCGCTAGATAGAGGTTCCACTTCGAGTGAAAACAAACCTAATTACAAATTTGCCCAAAATTCGACTCTTGCTCACTAGCGTGGCATAAAAGTACTGGAACTTTCCAAACAAGCAGGTCCCAAACGTCCACCGTGAAATATCGAGAATCCTGTGCTCGCTGGTTCGCAAAGCGGGTCGACTCCTAGAGCAAACTCGATGTTGACCCAATGGCGAACAGTCAAAGCGTACAGCAGTAATTTTTACTTTGAATTCGCGCTGGTGTACAGCGGATAGACGAACGCGTTCGCGATGAGAGCCAGATTGGCCGGTGTTTGCGATGAGCAAACGCCGCTAATTAAAATCCCTCCTCGCTCGGTAATCAACGAATGCCTTTAGGCTGCGGGTATGGTCAACGATCCTCGACCCTTCAACCCTTTTTCTCGAGAAACCAGAGAACCCGTTCGACTCGATCGGTCTCGTGGTTTCTTTCACTCGGAAAACACATACCCTCTCTTACCTCAAGATGCAGCTCTCGATCTTCTTCGCGAGCCTCCTTGGCGAGCACACTATGGGGTTGCAAGTCTGAAGGTCGTCTGGCATCGTCTGCGAACAGAAATGAAATTCAATCCGATATTAGGACCACTGTCACGTTTTCATAATTTTGGGAAAAAGGTGGAGGGGGAAGAAATTAATTTGGGAATGGAATTCAGTCCAAATGACTAGTCTCGAAATTTTTCTTCTCGCAATGGTTAAAAATATATATACATTTGCTTTTAAAAGAATTAATTTTGACTCGTTTCGAGATAGAATTATAATTGATATGTGTACCTGTCTTCATGGTATTATTAAAATTATTATTATCCATGTCTGCTATCTTCTAGTGTAAAATATAATTTTTAATTTAATTAATAATTGTTAATAAACTTAGTGCTTTTATATTTTTTAATGTATTATTTATTAATGTATATTTCTTACGTTAGAATTACCTTAACATAACAATGCTAGGACAATGCTCTTGTTATCAAATGGAGACCGACTATAGGCGACTGGACCTGACGCGACGTCACGTGACCACCGTCCGATACAAGATGGCGGAACACTTATACAGCGGGAAATACAAACAATAATATATATGATATCCAACAATAATATACTCGAATACAGTTCCGCAGGGAATTAATTACAGATTGACATGAAATGTAATCTTTCAAAGTGGAAAAAGATCTATTTAATTTTCTTTATATCATTTCCTTTACAACAATTTAATAAATATTTAATAAATAATTTAATTTAGTAAATATTCGACGAGATTTTCCTTTTATTATTATGGAATTCTATACAGGGAATACTTCTCTATATAGAACTGAGTCTAATTTTCTTCTCACTTATAATAATCATAATTTTAAAGAAACTAAACGTACACATATGTGCCAGTATCCCTGAAAAGGTTATGTGGATTAAAAATATGATTTTACTAATTTCCCATACAGAACCGGTAATGAATTATCAATCCAGCTCATCGAATTAGTTTAATTTATCGACGATCGTTATAATTCCAGTTTGTCGAGTACTATAATTAAAAATGACTCGTGGAACATTTTCTTTGATCGAGTGGAAGGACAGACAGTAAATTAACCGATAATACACCGAGACGCGTAGGACTTTACTGTTATTCTACCGACGAGTATTCAGGAGAAAGCATGTTCGACATAATTTTTCGTGTCCCACATGATGTTTGGCAAGTCGCGTCGCCGGTCGGCTCATAAATTATCTCGAAGGAACGAGGGTAGAAGGCGAGCTACACGGTTTTCGCTTTATTTTAGAGCAATGATATAGCATATGGTTTCGGAAAGCCGAACACTCGTCATCCACTTCCGCGTGATGTACGAGCGAGACCCATTTTTCGTCGCGACATACTTATGGCTCGGCGCCTAAGCACACGGGCCTCTAACTTCCGAGGCGTTAACCCACCGACGAATACCATTTCTCGTCACCCTGCACCAAAATATTTTCTCAACTAATCGTCCAAATATTTTAATAATTTTACTTACAATTATCATCTCCTATTATATCAATATGCAAATCCGCGAAGATGCAGTCATTGCACTTAACCTCAAATTCCACTTGTGTATGCAAAAATTTACATCCATAGAGAACAGAAAAATATTCATTTATTTTTTTTAAAAGCAGAAAAATCAAATTTCAGTTACATAAATCCGAAGCCTCGTCAACAAACGTGTCCTGTGAATTATATTCCTATTTTGTGATCACGTGCCTAAAAATAACAAAAATACAATAACGCGTAATAACATAAAAGTAATAAAAAATTATCGAAAATATTCGACACATAACTATATCGTAAAAGGAACATCAACTAACCTAATCAGGCTCTATTGCACATGAGGCTCCTTAACACGTCAAACGCTAGCTTTTCTATGAAAATAAAATATTTCAGGAAAAGACTAACGATATATAATATTGTCAAACTACAGAAACGGAAATCATCAAAAAGAATCACGAGTCTATAACCGTCTGCAAGTGACCTAACCTAATTCTTCAACAGACCTCAACACGTCAGACACTACCTTTACCATAAAAACGAAACGTGCTTCAACACCCAGAACTGGCTCCAAATGAGATCACTCATGGAGTAACGAGAGATCCAAACCCATCACAACATTCCTCTGCCCGACGAAATTCCGATGAGCCGCGGCCAGCAGCCTAGCAGCCTAACAGGCTAGCAGCCTCGCGACAAGGATCGCTTGAAACCCGGCACCCCGAAAATTTTTCCCTCCGGGCAGCCGGCCGAGATGATATCTCTGCCCGATGCATCCATCCCTGGGGCCGTAGGAAAGAGTCGGCCGGAGCAGGGCTATTAATAATCGTCGCATAGAAGGCGCGTGCTGCCTGGGTACGGTCGTGTGTCGCTAACGGGTGGCGCGGAACGTTTGTTTGCTCGCGGTGGCCACCGGGTTGACAAACAGCGCCGTTGGAACCGGACCACGCGGCAGCCGAACGCCGCAGTGGAGGGGGTAGCGCGATGTTTTCACGCCGGATGAAAATAGTGCTCGACGACCCGGCGGGCAGATTTATCGGGCCTTAATGGGCCAGAGGGATCGTAAAAACCGCCGCTACCGAGACTTTGTCAACGACTTTGTCAAAGTTATGTCAACAGAGGCACGCTGCCAACAGCTGGCGTTATTTCCACGCTCCAACGACGACTTGTTTATAGGCACGACACCAAGGGGACGCTCGCGCCACCGCAGCGAACGATCGTTCGGGGAACCAGGCTTTTGCTCCAACGCGTTTGGAGAACAATTTGTTTACCGAATAGCGAACGTGCTGGGGATAAAAGAAGATTCATACGTGATGTCAGGAGGCTGGAGGAGGAACATGCAATGGTGCCCCGATTTGACTAAATTTAAATGACCGAGTTTCTTTGCCGGGTGACGTTTCGGTTATCAGTGAAGTTCTTTGGGGCTTGGAAGGGGAAGTCGGAGAGCCAGGCATATGTGTATGAAGGCAAGGAATATTTTAATGGAAATTATCTCCATGAAAATGGTACGAAAATTGTAGCTTCCACTTTAAAAACTCAACAATGAAAAATTCAAAGTTTCATATATCCAATTTAAATGTGTGAACAAAATATTATTCGTATAAGGGATTTTTAATTTTGAAATTTAGTATATAATTTAATATTTAAAATGTAATAATCAAACCCAATAATTTAGAAATTTGAAATTTTACAATTTCAAATTTGTGAAATATTATTCCTACCAAGAATTCTTAATTTTACAACGAAGTGAAACGAAAATGTGAAAATGTTACTTCACTTGATAATTGAAATTTTTGCAATGCTAATGATGGAAACTAAAAATTAAAAAATTTAAAATCTTATGTCGATTTTGAACTTGAAATGTGCAAGTTGTGGATAATGTGAAATAGTTGGAAATATTGTTTCCGGGGATTATTAAAATACGCGTGTGTCGACTGCTGTTTAAAATCGTAAGTGGAGGGATTAATCACGGTTCAGGGGCCCCTAATAATTTTCCGGTGTAATGCAATTTGGTGGCGCGGACGAGTGGTGAGCAAGCAAGAGCCAAGGCAGAGGGAAGTCTGAGACACGATCAGCTTATTCCACTCTGCTGGACGGCCAAGTAACACTGATGTGATTAAGCCCCTTCGCAAATTATGCCATTACACATTAGATAAACGTCTGTTTGACTTCGCCTCTTGGCACTGTTCCGCCGCCGATGCACTTAATACCGATTTAAACACGTGTACGAACCTCTGCACGGGTCTTGCGACACGTTATCGCCGACTCCCGAAGTTCCTGTTTCAAAACAGCCTGCTTGTTTGCAGAAGTTGGACTCTGCGTGGGTTCCCTGTGAGGTGCGGCCATCTTCTGAAATATGTTACGGCTCCTTCGCTTCTTTGAACTAGTTTCCAAAGTATTTGCGTTATTGTTGCTCCAACAGCCTTCCTGTATTTGGATATTTTCAATCGCCTTACGAGAATCCTTTGATTTTAGCATTTAAGAGGCTATTTACACCGTGTTGAAATAATTCAGAATATTTCGTGCATGCGAGAAAATTAGGATTTAGAATATTTGGAATGAGAAATAGTGCAAAGACTCGTCTGAAATGAAATTGACGAACAATTTTTGAGAATATAAAATTTCTGAAAATTTTCAATTTCGAAATTAAATATTATTATTAATTTTTTCCATGTAAACAGTGGGATTGTAAGAATTTTGAGGTTATCTATTTCGTAATTAGATTATACGAAGAATATAGATGAGCAATATTTTTGCCAAAGTCATGGGCGAGAATGAAACTCCGAATGGCGGAGAGCACCAGGAACCAGCGCTATTAAAGACCTTTTCATTCTGTCCATCGCGCGATGTAATAAGCGTATTGGGTTTCTGTACAAGGGAACAACGTACGCGAAACGATAATTACTCAGAGTTTTTTGGGGACGGTGGGTTTAATCAAAGCCGGGACGCTCGATCATCGGGAATTCGATTACGATCGGAACGTTCGTCACGAGTGACGATTAATTCTCGCAAGTGGCCGGCTGCGTGGAGAGATGAGAACCGAGTTATTGCGTTCTTCCGCGCGTTAACGAGAAAACGATTTCGACCAGTACACCGCGGAAACTTCCACGGAATCGTCATCCACTCGTGCCCCCACCCTACGACCCCGAACCGGGACGGAAGTAATCGAGAAGAGCCGAATGTCGGCGAGAAGGAAACTAGAAAATTGATTGATATATACCGTGAACGAATTTGATGAAGATGGAAGTGCAACGATCCAATGACACTTGCGAACAATGTATACGATCATTACATACAGGGTGTCCAAGTAACGGTAGTACAAACGGTAAGGTGTGATTCTACGTGAAAAAACGAATCGAAAATGAAGAATGAAATTTTTTTATTTGAAGCTTCGTTCTCGAAAAAATCGACTTTGAATATTCATGAGAACACGCGCACTTAAGTTTGACAGATGGCGCAACAGTATAGCAGCGCGCGCGGTGGACATTCAAAGTCGATTTTCTCCATAACTAAGCTTCGAATGAAAAAGTTTTATTCTTCATTTTCG